ACATCTGATGCAGCCGTCATCATTCGGAGTCATATGTATTTTCACCAATACAGAGCTACGCTAAACATATAGTTTCATCAAGCTACGTCAAGTACGTGTTGGGCGAACAAAATGAATTGTTTTTCAAGTACGAAATTTCCAAGTGCTATGTTTAATCACTTAGGGAGCCTTTTAAGTCAAACATTTTCTCTTCATAGTCGTCTCCTTCGTTAATCAGAGATATATATAAATATATATATATATATATATATATATATATATATATATATATATATATATATATATATATATATATATATATATATATATATATATATATATATATATGTATATTTATATATATGTATATATATATATATATATATATATATATATATATATATATATATATATATATATCTATATATATATATAGTGATTTGAAATACATGTGAAGTAATTTAAATAATCTTTTGTGATAATATCTGTCTATATATTTATTAAAACATGTTACATATGAATAAGGTATATAATTATATAACAATGTGAAAATAGGTCATAAATATTAAAGATGGAATTGAATTGCTGATTGCCTCGCTTAGATATGACCATGATAAATATGATACATTAAATTACCTTATTGTGTACATACTATATAAAAAATGTATAAAGAAACAATACCAATTTCTATTGCGTTTTTTCCATCAGACAAATAGTCCATTTACGTGTATTATTTCTAGCCAAACTTACATTGTAAGACGTGGTACCTATTGTTTTCGTCATTTCTCCGTTACCGATTTACGGTTTTATTATATTCCTTTACACGGTAAACTCCATCTGTGGCTTGGTATAAAATTTAATTCGATTCTCACATTTATGATTCCTGTAATAGGTTTTTACCGGTATTCCTTTGGCACAGCAATCAACGTACGTGACAACGTGGTGATTTAGACACAGTATGCCTCCAAAATTTCTATTTAGGCACGTACGTCTATGTATGTATTGAATTGTAATGTTTTATCATAATAATTATAGTACTAAACTAGTATTTTGCACGCTATTTCATACGCGTTTCGTGTTTCTAGATGACGTATCACGATAAAATGTAGGTACACCAGATTTCAAGTTAGCCCTTTAGGAACATAACTGAAAATCGCATCCGATTTGGTGCAGTAGTTTTTGCATAACGTCGCAACAAACATACAGATACACAGACAGACAAAAATTTTATAAATTATTTGACTTCTATTGGTCTTAAAGACTGCTTATATTAATTTTTCTAAAATATTTCCCATATAGATATTGTCTAGTTACAATTTTATAGTTTATTACTATTAGTAACATATAAAAATAATAAGATTATTAATGTCATATTATTATGTTAATACATATACCCAATGACACAAAGGTCATTATTGTTCGCTAATATATTAGCGAATACCGTTCATTATGCAAATGGTGTCAGAGAAACATTTTTTTCTTTTTATAGTTATCGTACATAATTTAAATCGTACCAGTAATAAATATTATATTATAACTTTTTAATATCTTATTATTCATACATTTTTATTATATTGATTTTTATATACTTAATTTAATTCATAGAAATCGTGCGTGTTTTAACATGACAAGTTAATTGCTTCATAATTTGATCTATACCGTTCGTATGCTTCCTGTTTAAAAAAAAAAGAAAATAACGTACCATAGAGACGTGCATATAGAGAGCGAGACAAAAATAAATAATTGTAAATAATAGCATCCGAAACGGTCTTAACGACCATGTTTTATTCTAAACGCTCCGAGAAAGCATTGCGTTGAGCAATTCCTCTTGTGCATAATACCCGTTATTAGCTTTTATGTCGCTCATCGCATTTAGTTGTCACGTTTTAGATATAAAGTCTGCAATGTACGATGTTTGCACACGTAATGAGTTGTGTAGACAGTAATTAACGTTATTCACTTGTCGGATTATAATTTTCACGCCAATACCATAATTATACAGTAAATTGTAAGGACATTGGTTGTTTAGCCAGAGGGAGACTTTGTACAAAAGTCGTTTGCTTGGGTACCTCTGTCCCATTCGTGTTTCTACTGTGAAGCTGTTGTGTTTGCATGGCTGTGTTTCGGTTTGAAGGTTGGGATATGGCAGTGAATTTACAGGGTACAGTGAAATAACACCTGGGTCCTCAGGAATGACAACGCATAGGGGTATCATGTATACTCTGTTATGTTCATAGTACTGCTCATGTCTATAGGCGAAAGTTACCATTTTCCATCAGGTAGGCCGTTAGCTTGTTTGCCATTTTAAGTTGCCTTCCGTATAAGGGGAGTTTTACCAGTAGTTGCCACGTTTAGGCAAGCGGGTTGGTAATCACAGTTAGGTTTTGGTGATGTTTTAAGAGGGACGCTACTATTCATCCCTCGACCATTAAATTCTCTTACGACATCCACGGAAAAGGAAGGGAATTTATTTAATATTTGATAGAAATTGTGTATATTTTTCGAAAACTTTGTACCGTAACTAGAAAAGGATTGAAAAAAATCTTCTTTATGCAAGTAGTATTTAATATAATTTTGTCGTATAACCTGTCTTCGAAATTGTAATATTTCGTAATATTATGCTTCAGCGCCAGATGACTATTAATCACTGTCTAAAACCTGTCTCCCTATTAAATTCGTGTAAAACGGCAAATTTTACCCTCAGGGCATATAAGAAATAACTTTTCTGTTTTATTTTATAATTATTAATGTTTTTTAATTAATTATATTATCTTAATCTTATTACATTTGTCTTTTTAATAGAGTAATTAACATTTTATCTAAATCTAACGACATAAATAAAAAAAATAAAATTAAACAGTTTAATGCGCAATATGTTACTATGACTTAGGCCAGAAACACATTGACAATTAATTATGACTCGGTTAATCCCTTGAGGTTTACCAAAGCATTAATATACCGCATTTTACCACATTTTTTTTATTATTTTTCACTACACTCTAGTAAACTTATTTATAAATTTCATATTTATGAGGTTAGGGTTAAAGTTTGATAATAGAAAATGTTTGTAATACAGTAGGTAAAATAAATGTTAGGTATTGAGAGTTGAGGACATAGATTTGTTCAAGGGGTTACAAGAGGCCTTTACCTTATAAGCCATATTGAATTTTCTTCCCTTTGCGTCTTCTATCTAATCTTTATTAGAGTATATATGTATATATATTTATAAATACATAACTCATAAATCAAACTATTCTAAACTTTTCATATTTTTTTTTAAAATAGTACAAGCACACCAAAAGTCAGTCCACCCTTCCACTAAAGTAATTCACAGTTTATAACATGTTTGGTCGGTTCACCCACGCGTTGGGTTTAGAAAGCCGATGGGAGCCGCTAATGCCTGGTTTTGGAGCCCGACCGCTTCATTGTTCTACCACAATAGGATTATAGGATATCATAGACATTTTCACTTCCGTCCGCCATTAGCAGATTTTCATAGGCCGTTTATTAAAATGACTAAAGCGATTTCGAAAAGTTATGACTGCTGTTTTGCAGGAGAAACTATTTCGGTAATTCGTTTTCTTTCGGTTGTATTACGATAATGTGTGCGTTCAGTTCGGTTTATAATCTTTATGCAACCGAAGATAGAAAATAGCTTTAGAGTGAATATTTTGTTGACCGAGTCATTTTGGTTTAGACTACATACACATATGAAAAGAAATCTTATTCTATATCGTAAAATTTGACAATGTATTTTTTAAAACCCCAATTTGGGTTGTACTATTGATGATATGACGTACTGGGATCCTGAGCTTGAGTCAGGGGGCAGGGGAAGGGATGGTTAGTAATGAATGCTAGTTCTCATTACCAACAATATGCCTCGTGAATAGCCACGATGTGTCAATTGTACTGACTTCATCCTCATTCTCTCATCTTCCACTGGTGTCCTACCATTGTATACCATTAGCATAGGTGCCATGCTATTCCATCTTTATCTGTAAAAGAACTTATGTCGCATGAATGTTTATTTCGTTTCGAATGTTGCGCATATTTATAGGTGATAGTTGATATCCTGCAATCCCGTACTAGTATTACAAAATACGTCATTACCGTATTCAATGCAACCTTATAAGTGTTCGTCTCAGATTTTATTATAATAAGCGGATTTCACGTTCGGCCGGGGCTCGAGTCAGTCTCGGCTCAAGGCGAATCAGGTTTCATTGTAAATCTAGATTGTTTGGTATCGTTCGTGTTTCTGGTCGCCAATATGAACGTACAGTGGAACATCCCACTAAACGTTGAACTTCAAACATTCAAGATTATTATTTGTTTCGCCTGACCTCCTAATCATAGAAGTCGCGTTTTTTACTACGCTACTTAATCTTCACTGGTCAAATTTGCGCCATCTTTCTACGTCTTCTTTACAAGTTAATTTTACAAAACAGACATGTCTCACGGTAATGGCGGCTCTTAGCAAATGAGAGCTCGATTATTACGACGCTTTCTATGTAATTACTTTAAGTAAACGCCGAAAAAATATTAAAATTGGCCGACGCTCGTCGGTGAGTCGTTAATTTTAGACACCCACGGCGACTATCGTTTCGTACGTAATTAAATTGGTTTCGCTTTCAAAAGATGATGAAGGGCTCGGTAGAACGATGTTATTTCAATGATATTATTTAAATAGCACGTATAATTGTTAAACTTTAATAATTTTATTATCGTTCGGGTAGACATTTATAATCTTTTATTGCCACAAGGTCGAAGTATATTTTAATCATATATCCGATTATTGTAACCGGATTAATTGAAATGCATACCTATCAATAAATGATTTCGATACAAATGTACTTTGTCTATGTATGGGACTAGATTGTCCAGTTTAATAAGTTTTATTGTAGAATTATTATTTCACTAGCTTTGCCCCCTTAATTTATTAAAAAAAGACCTTATTTTGTTACCACTTTGTGCCTATATTTATAAAGTTATGGATGTCGCTAAAATACGTATTCTTTTCTCAGGGAATGCATGTCATGTACCCGGAGCCGCCGGCGCAATATCGCAGAAGTCAGCCCGAGAGCACGCAGCCTAATTACCAGCCGGCCGTGTCGCCGGCGCGCCAGCAACCAGCCAAGAAACGTCGCGTGCTGAGCCCTACGGCGTCACACACGCAACAACACGTACAATCGGACACCACCGGCTACAAGGTACATTCGATATGACCATTACCCAAATACCATAATCCCTTGAGCGCACCCAAGACTCACGATGCCTTACATTTGTACTGTATTACAAGTATTAGCTCACATCGAACTTTAACCTTAACATAATAAAGTTGAAATTTATAAAGAATAGATTATTAGACCATAGTGAAAAAGAATAAATATAATTAAAAATGAACTTTTTTTATAATAACTCCACACTCAACGCTTCAGGGAAAAGTCTTCTCAGCCCTCGCTACTCCCCGTTAAAAGAGGTCTTTTAAAAATATCACTTGTAATTTTGTTTTTGTCAATACTCGAAATTGTGTTGATTCTTAACCACGCGGCAATGGTATGCATCCTTATCGGTCAACCCCATGACCCAGAATGCATACCATTCTGGACTTTGACGTCCAAATAATCTATAATCTACCTCGTCACCTTTAACAGCCACGAAAAGATACTATTACGTTCCAATTGGGTCTAATAACATTAGTATAGCTATATAACAGTCTTATATTAAAATGAAATATGACTTTAGGTCTCTTAAGTGTTTTATGGTGGCGTTTGAAAATGCTATTAGCCCTATAACAGTTACACGATTTAGTCGTAAACGGTCGCATCATCAAATGTGTAAGACTATGTTATACAACGATTATTGATCTATGACTATAGTAATAAAGCGGCTAAGACGTGTTTCCCCAAGAGTATTTAATATGTATACATATTTGTTTTGTGATAATCTTTTACGTACTCATAATTGTTCAAGGTCAGATTATGTTAAATAAAATATATACTAATTCAGTGTGTGCATTTCTGTAAATGTACGATATAATAGTGTAGATAGCAAATGGCGTAGTATGAGCCTTTACCTGTGTCCAGAGACATACGTAATAGAAATACACGACGCAAATATAGAATATACATGAAAACTAAATATGTCACTACTAAACTATTTGACGTGTTGTATCAAAGCTATTTATTAATAAAAGTATACTCTGTTATGCCTATAGTATTGCTTATGTCTATAGGCGACGGTTACCACTTTCCATCAGGTGGTGCGTCAGATTGTTTACCATTCTGAGTTGTATTAAAAAAAATAACAAACACCGTTCCGTGATTGTCAGTCTTCTAAACTTTTTCGAAATAAACTCAAATGCTCATTATTGCCTCTTTACCTTGCTTCTGTTCTTAATTTTTTTTCTTTTTGTGCATACTTTTAACTTATGCTATCTGCATCATTCTTGATGAGGGGAATAATGAAGAGTTTTTCATTCATTCGTTCAATATAAGAACATTGACTTTCATGTTATTATTTTTATAATAAAAGTAAAAATGCTACGTTATACATCAATGTATATTAATTATGTTATATATTATATTAATAACATCATTTGTCAAATTAGATCTTTATTACACTTACCATCAAATTTATTATAACCACAAGGCACGGTAAGTAGTACTTGCCGTCGGTAAACATACCTTGTGGCTACGGCATTCTGGTATAAAAAATTCACTTTCTATGGATTTTAATACGATACATTTTGTACGAGTATGTACCTTCCAATGAAACTATATTAGTCCGTTAATATTACCCCTTCGGCAATTGAAAAGACTTTGCAAGTAAAAAATGAATCTTATTACAATTTGTGTAAAGTGGTTTTTACGTTTTACTGAAGTGTAACTTATGTTCAGTCGTCTATACTGCTTCTTGCTTGAATATTTCAATCCACAAGTTAGCATAGCATTTCTTATGATCGCGGAAACTTAACTTAAGAGGCCCTCCTTATTAATAATTGTAACGTAACGATTGACGGAGGAATAAAATTATAATATTATTCAACCTATTAGTACTAATAGTAGGTACCAGCTCATTATAAATGTGTAAGTTCGTAAGATGTTTGAAGGTTTATTACTCAGTCACTTCTAAATGATCAGCCATTTAATATATAATAGCTGTTTTTAAATGGAATCTGATAAACAAATTGGTACTTAAATATTTAGGCTAATTTTTATCTTAATTCACGTGGAAAATATATAACTTTTGCGGGGTGTTACAGTTATTAATGTTATATATAAAAATATTGGTACACAATCATCGTTTATGGATTTTATAGTATAACTGAGGAAGCAATTTGTCAGCTCACTTTGAAAATGGTAATTGTTGCCTATAAACAGAGATGGTATCCTACGTTCTATAGAAAAAAAAATGTATATTTAACTTTCTAAGTAAAATAATAATATTTATTAATATTAGCCTTATAAAATTTTGAGTCCAAAGGGTATAGAGGAATAATACCTTAGTCCTCAGGAATGGCAACGCATGGGGGGAGGGGTATCATGGGCGAAACAGTATACTCTGTTATGTCCCTGATATTGCTCATGTTTGTAGGCGACCGTTACCATTTTCCGTCAGGTGGGCCGTCAGCTTGTTTGCAATTCTAAGTTGCATAAAAAAATGTCCCTAGATAAATATTAAGTAGATTACATTATCTCGTTATTTCCATGCTGAAGAACTGTTGTGGGTTTTTCAATTGTAAGGTTTTGCGAAATAAAAATCTACTACGTCGCTTTGCAAGTTTTTTAATCCATATAGTGAGGGCTTCTTAAGTTACTTCGACAAGATTCACATGAACATTTATATGGATGGGAAAGGTTACTTGCGCTACGTGTTAGAATCGCAATAATTTTACTGGTTTTTCTTCATTATTTATTATTATTACACCTAGAAGATTATACTAAACCAACCGGGATTGCACACAGAGTATAAATATATCGATATCATTGAAATGTCATTTGATTATCAGATGTTATCACAACTCACCGGCGCCGTACTTCTTACTCGATATGATGGCGAATATCAATACGTCAATATGCGATACGATAACGATTTTTGTAACGCAGTAGGATTTCAAGTTAATTCAGCGTGACGTTTAGGCGAGCACCGCCTGATGAATATGTAATTGAGTCAACACTGTCGCCCCGTGTTGAGGTGCGGTGCTTTGGCAAACGAAGCGTTCATTATCACGCAAATCGATACTTAGAGGATCTAATGTTTGAATCGACACGTGATTTCTCCCAGATGTGCCAAACTATACTTCATTGTGTCATTGGAGGAAACTGAATTTTTCAAAGAAAACTTTTATATATATTTCTGATAGGAAAAGAGCGATCCATTTGGAATGTATTGAGCCAGCGCCCAGTCAATGTGCGCTATATACAAGAAGAGTGAATATAAAACGTATTCGAATTTAACACATCTCTTCTTAAACGTTTTCTTTGTTCCCTGACACAAATAAAAATCCGAATGTTCTCGTATTTTTTCTTAATTTTTATGAGTTGCTTTGTAAGTATTTTAGCGTTATTTGTGTGTTTGCTGAATAATAATAATCGGTTTTGTAAATTTAATACTAAAGTTCTTAGTCAATAACTCGGGTCCATGATAGGTAGGCAAATATTATACAATGAATTTATATAATGTAACTATTTCAGCTATTTTTGTTTGTCTCTTTATTATATACACTATAAAGCAAGTATCAGATGAGTTTTGGTAAAGCTTGGAAAACTACATAGATTAAGTATATCTTAAATGGACACTAGGGCAATTAATCTTTTCTCTCGGTTTCAAACTAAATTCAACGTGTCCCGAGTTCCGAACACACTGTGCTACAGCGGTTTGATTTGTTATTTAGTATCATTAATTATTTTGAAAACTTGTTCTAATTCTATTTCTAATTTTATCTAAAATATTATTCAGACAAAATTAGATATATACTTACCAGTTAGATCGAATACGTTACTTCAATGATACGTCTTATAAAAAATAAAATGTTTTGTATAAAAAATTTAACTAATATTATTATATAACAGCATTTTACTTACGTATATTAATAACATCTGTGTGGTCTCGGCATAGAATAGGCCATTTCCTTTTTTTCCTGTGGGTGTCGTAAGAAGCGACTAAGGGAACTTAATGAACGAGAGATGGGCAGCAGCGTCTTCCTTAAAACGTCTCCGAGGCCTAACTACGGTTGCCAATCTGCACGCCAAGCGAGGTATTGGCAAAACCCTCCATTAGAGGGAGGCTTATGCTCAGCAGTGAAGAATTAATGGCTGATATGATATAATACATTAATAACATGCAATATTTGTATTTATTTAATGATATACAACATAAGGCAAAAAATATATAAAACAAAAACTTGAATGTACTACTTTGTTTCTGTTGTAATATGGTTATTTTTGGTTTTATACAGTCATTCTGTTGGGAATAAATTCCTCAATATGCGATAATTTTAATATAAACTTTAAAAGCATTGAAATAATTAAAAATAACTAGTGAAAAATTTTTATTGCATTTTGGTGTGTTATGAAAAAAATATGTTGGAATTTCAAGGATCCACCCACGCGGAACTAGATCTCCCTCCCGTTTCCGTGAATATCTCAATGTCAACGAAAGTGTCTTTGTTAAAGGATGCCCACATCGTATCTAGACCCGACGCTTTGTTTTTATTATGCGTTGATATATTAGTCTGGATATTTGATGACGTGTTTGTTTACGTACAAAAAGGTGGCGGTACGACCTTCTAGCTAGGTCATTTATATGAATTACTTTATTAGAGTACGAATCAGCAGGTTGACTTATGGCGCAATTGAATGTGAATCATATCTAGGGTGAAATCGAAATAATTTGCTTCCTTTTAATTAAGTTTAAAAATAAAAAAAAAAAAAAAAACTGAACATTGTTCCTAAAGAAACAGGCTGGCGGGGCGTTAGTGATACATGATAGGCGAGGAATAAAGGCAGGTCAGTTGGTCCATCGTGAAGAATTCATTAAGAATTAACTACGGTGTCCGGGAAGGACTGCGTGGAAATCGAACAAGATATCCTATCAGGTACATATTGATAGCAATAAGGCCACTATACTCCATCAATAACAATCCTTTCCCGCTCAGGATGGTTATGCTATGAGACAGGATGAGAGACTTTATTTTTTATCTTTTTTC